TTATTGCATTTGGCAATGCTGAGTATGGAGAAGATGCAACCTAGGAACCTCTGGAAACTGAGGGAGGCATGAGAGGTTCCCCCCCCCGAAAACTTTTTTTCTTGAAAAGTAAGTAGGACAGACAGAAAAGGGAACATTCCCTTCATTGTCGTGATACTGGTGAATTAAGATATCCTGGGACCAAGAGTCTAAACAAAGGGATATGCTGGAGTGCAACCATACTGTGTGAATTGGAAGTTGATAGCAAAGAGCTGTCTACAAGTAAGCAACTTCACAACGTTTCCATCAGTCCAGGGCATTGAGTATCCCTGCATGCTCCAAGCCAAGTGTTGGCTTGTTTGGAGGCTGGGAATTGCACTGTTGGAAATGACAGGCTGCCAAGCTGTTCTCACAGATATAGGCAATTTTTGCAGTGAGCCAAGAATTAAACTTTGTGACCAAGACTTAAGCCTTGTAAACCTGTGTCAAATAACAACCTTTTTGTAGCTCATATGGTGTTTATGCATTTGTACCATTAAGGAATAAGTCTTATTTGGAAATAGGTTTCAATTTTGAAATCTTTTAAATTTGCCTCTTTACATACTGTTCTTGCACTATAAGAAGGCATCATCTGCTGCTTTTAAAATGTACTCTAAGCACTAAGACTTGAATAACAAATGCTACATTAAGCTAATAAACATCTTTAGACCAGTGGGTCATGGCACTGGAAATACACTAAGCTAATAAACATCTTTAGACCAGTGGGTCATGGCACTGGAACTGCCTGTTCATGAAAGCTCAAAATTCTTCAGTGTTAGAAACCCTGGAAGCACATAAATCACTCAGAATAAACCCACAGAGAAATTACCTCCCCTTCCCCACTGCTGTCCTGCTGTGGGAAAGACCTTTTGCCATCCCTGATTTCCCCCCGGAGTGAAATCGCATCCACCATTCAATACAAAATTAATAAAGGTATATAGAGTATGTTGAGCAAACACTGACATATCCCCAATGGTGAATTTACATCCCTCCATTCTGTTTAAAATTAATAAAGGAAGACAAAGCACACAAAACCAACACAGGAGAGTAAAAAATCCCTCACACAAAGCCCACCAAGGCTTGGCACTGAGGGCGAGCTTCTGTGCTGGAGTAAGTGGCTCTAAGCAAGAGGCAAATCTTGGGTTGGAAATGCTGGTTCCCTTTCTTGGGCAGGTTCAGGAGGGCTGCCTGGCAGCATGCCCAGTGGATTTGTCACTCAGGAGTAGGAATTGCCTGAGCTGTTTGATGTGTTTGCAACATGACTCTGACATTCCCTCCTTCCTGCAGGTGATGTGCAGGATAAAAGATGCTGTTTCAATTGAAGTCTTGCTCAGCTGCATCCCACCTTCCACTTGCCTTCTGCCCTTCCCTCTCCCAAAGGCACACTCTGCTGTCATCAGCGTGCAGTTATGGGTCTGTAAAAATGTTCTGTGATCTGAACATCCAGCCAAAGGCTTCATGGGCTGTTGTGATGGACCAGGGACTGCTGGAGCAAGGGATTGAAGATACTCTGAATGTCTGTGGCATTTGCCCCCTTCAGAAAATTGCCTGATTTTAGTATAGAAAATAGGTAAGGGTCCTCAAACACTCCTTAGATAATCTGACTCAATGATTATTTATTTCTCAGGTACTTCTTTATGAACTGGGAGGCCTGGCATGGAGGTTAGATACCAGCAAGATGGGCTCTCGCAGTTATCCTACAGAAATTAAATATAATCCCTTATACTCAAAGCAGTCAATAACCTCTTCTTTACCAGCACCTGTTACATCTGTACCCTTTAGAGCTGTGCCAGACCCCTCCACGAGTGCCAGCCATTGATCTAGCTGCAGAAACTTCCCACAGCTGATCGCGAACAGTTGGAAACTGTCAGTTTTTTGAAATGTTTATGGCCACACATTTCTGAAGAGATGAGCTGTCTTTTGTTGCATGCTGGCTTCAGGTTAAGCTATTTTTTATTACTCTGATGTTTTGTAGACACCGCTGGTTACTCCCAGGTTTGCAGCATCAGCTTCTCCCACCAGTTCATGTGTATTTTATGAGCCTGGAGATGTTTTGGCAGAAAGTGGAGCTGTGCCAAAAAGAATTGTTCCTGCTTTTCTTCATGCTTGCCTTTTTTTCTGTACTTGCAGAATCTGAAGAAGGGGAATGCTACAGCTATGGCAAGGAAAAGCTGCCCAAACTGCTTTGTAGAGTGTTGGCTGGTGTGCATATTTACAGCTGTCCAGGAGCAGTGTCTCAACTGTGTGTCTTAGGCTCCTTACCTACCAACTCCCCACAGTGCTTCTAAGAGAAATTGCACCAGTCTCTGGTGGCCTGTTGGAGGTCCACAGATGGTACTGGTTGCCACATAAGTAGGATTTATTTGGGGACTACCTTGCAAAGACTCCTGAGATTTTTTCAAGCTTGATGTCCTGTGTGGGATCACACCAAGGCATCTCCCTTGTGCCCTGTGGGACAGACCCACAGTGTCCTCCCTCTGCCAGCACTTAAGTGGGACTTCGGCGGGTACAAGGCCAAGCTTCTAATCTACCAATTTCAGAAGTGTATTTTGCAAGCAATGCCTTTTAACTAACTTAAAGGTGAACTGCTCATTTGGATGAGGAACTGTGTTAGGTGGGATGAAGCTGTTGCAAGAGAACATCTTCCTTCTAAGAAAATTCCTTTCTGTAGGCGAGTCTTTAGTCATCTTTGTAACCTTTGTCATCCTCTCCTCCCTGGGGAGTTTACTTTGTGACCTTTGCTATTCTACCAAGGCGCCTCATAAATTATTATTCTTTTAAATGGCACTTAGACTGTCATCGTGACTGCTAGCCTTGAAGATTTGCAGTCTACTCTGTAATTTTGAGGGGGAAAAAAAGGTTTAGTGACAGAAGAAATATTGTACTTCACGATAAAACTACTTTTGTGTTTCATTTTCCACTCAAGTCATTCATATCCCTGTCACTAACCTCATTCAGGTCAAGGGCTTGAGGCAGAGAATGGGCATAATATTTTTGGTCAGACTGATGCATCTGAATATTGCAAACGTCTGTAATTTTGAATTGAAATGAACATTGTGTTAAATCCTCAGGCAAATATTATCAAGACAAAATAGATTACTGAAGTTTGCATTTCTTTTGGCAATTCAGACCAAGGCTCTGTTGACTGGTTATTCCAGACATTAATGAACCTGTTTACAAAGAGAGCTGCTCCTTATGGCTGCGAATTAGATCCTGGATTCTGCAACTTTGTAGGAAAATCTGTGGGCCAAGTAGCTGAGATAATAAAGAAAAAATTAATCAGGCACACATGAAATGTGAAGCATGGAAGAAAACATCTGCAGCACTCGGTGGACATCTGGGTAACACACTTGCAGTGCTGTTTTGCCAGCTTACATCTGGAGTGGTTCATGAGAAGAGAGCAGATGCTAGTGTGAAATAGGTCATCATAGCAGCAGGGTATCAGAACAGAGGCATTTCTTTTTTTTTTTTTTTCTTGCAGTAACAGCTATTTCTTTTTATTCACACCAATTATGAAAATGTTAGCCAAGTATGCAATGTGAATGCATGTATTGTGACAAGCCAGTACTCATAAAGGGTGTCAAGGCAGAAAAATAACCTAACAAGGAGGCTTCAGAGAAGCAGCCTTTTGCATTACACACTGAGTATTCTTTAACAGACATAGTGATTATTTTTTGTTAAGATTATGATCTTTTTCCCCCCATACTTTATTTTTGTATTTAGTAGAGATTTTACTAAATGCCTTCTAGGTGGCAAATGCCCATAAGCAAAAATGCTAATTCAGGCGAGTTTCATCAGTCATTTCAAAAGAGAGGTCACACAGATAAGAGAAATGAACAGTACACAGTATGTGAAGCAGTGACATTCAGTGAGCCCTTGTCACTAGCAGCCATTAGCATGGAGGCCTGCTGTTACGTTTCAGTGCTTTATGTGCTTTGCTTGACCAGGCGGGGAGCCTTCGGAGCACTGCAGCAGTTAGTAGCATACAAGTTATTGTTTCTTTCTTGAATGCTTTATATTTTTAGTACCATTTAGATTTTTCCGTGTCCCCTTGTGCATCTAAATTTTAAAGGGAATTGAAGAATGCATAATTCATATCTGTCCCAGAGGTAATGGAATGACTCAATGATATCCGTGAAGGAGATGATTTTAAATTTCATGTCTTATGCAAGAGGTCATATTTATACAAAAAGTACAAAAATTGGTCTCAAGGATACCCAGATAATTATCCTTACAATAATGAGTGTGTATTCCAGGGGGGGAGTATCAGAGGAATCATTAGTGTCTTGTGTGTCACCATCCCTTATTATCATGGTGTCATGGTTGTCATGATCGAAAACTTAGCAACTGATAGATCTCAGGCTATGACTGGTATTTTTACTTGGATAGCACTTGCAGGAGGTGTGAAAAGACAGGTTTGCTTTGATTCTGTTAAAGTATTCATGCAAGATGTGAAGCATTTGTTTACTGCTGAAATTCTTTCCTTCATTTAAAACAAAAACAATTGTTTATTGATGTTGGGCAGAACCCACCAGTACATGCTTTGTCACACAGCACAGTTCCACTAGATTATTTCTGCTCTCCTTTCCAAAAAGCCTAGAAGTGCCATGGCTATCTGGTTCTGTGATATGCTCTATGTTTGAAAATGCACTTTATGGTCTGTATTATAGGCAGTTCAAAGGGAATATAACTTGGTGCAGTATTCTCTCTTTTCTTCTAATCCTGTTCCATATATTCATTGAATTTTTACCCTGAAACATATCTTTAAAAACAACTTACCACTTTGCATTTTATTTAACTTGGACTTTGCTATATTTGTATAATTGTTATGATCTAGCTGCTCCTGTAGTGTAAAATGTTTAATATCCTCTAAACCAATTCTACTCTGACTTTTAGCATTGTGGATCCAAGGAGACAGCTGATTTTATTTGCTTTTCCTTTGGAAACTTCCTAGTTTTAACTCTACTTTCCACTTTTTGCAGGATTGGCCATGAGAATTTGTAACATTCCTTTGGAAATACTGTGATGGGGCCACTGAGAAGTTACCTTCCTGTGTACAGGTCTGTAAAATGTATTGTGTCCTGACTATTTGTCATGGTTTAGGAATGGTATTCTCCAATTTAGTGTTCCCACTGGAACCACTCCAAGCTATATGTCACTCACTCCCCTCCTCTCTCCCTGCCTCATTCCCCCCTTCCTCTCCCCCTTCCTTTCCTCCATGGTGGACTGGTGAGGAGAATGGGAGTCACAAAAGATAAAGATCACAAACTGAGATAAGAACAGTTTACTGGAAACAGCAATGAGGTAAAGAAAATGAACAGTAACAGCAACAATACTAATGACGGAGTGTGTAAGAGAAAGAAACCTTCTTGCTGACCCCATGGAAACCTCTGACAATACACAGCCACTCTCTCTGCCATGCTACCCCAGTCCAGAAGCAAGCCCTTCCCCCTGTCCTTGGAAGATGATCTGAGATGGTACAGGATAACCTCTGGGTCCTAGCCATACCCCATCCTGGCTACTGCAAAAATTAACCTTGCCCTGGCTGGAACCAGGACAGTATTTCAACATGTAGACCCCTGTGCTGACTTCTTGTCTTTTTTATCTTGAATGCCTGCAAGCCAAATCTAATTTTATGGTGGAGAAAGTGTTGTGAAAAATTCATTTTGTTTCTCACCAGATGCTTAGGACATAACTCTGTTCTGTACTGTTGTACAGATGTAGAGTAACCCATTCGTCTTTCCTTCGAAGTGAACAATTGCAGTTTATAGAGTTGAACTGCAGAAAGGAATTGGGCCTGTATGTCATTTTCTTCTCACTGCTATGCCTTTCAGTATGTTTTGGAGCTGCATGACCCTAAAAGGCCCTGCAATCGATTACTTCCACCCAGGTTGCTCATATGTGAGCAGCTGACCACAGTTACAGCTGTGGATATTTTCAGAAGCACACTTAGCAGACCATCAGCAGAATTACTGAGGCTTTTGGGTCAGGAGGAGCTCAGGTTCATGGAAAGTTTGCAAAAATGAAAAAAAAAAGTTTATATTTAAGAGACTGTAAAAAGAGCATAATAATAATAGCTTGACTCCTGTAGTGGCAGCATGGCAAGAAGTGGTGAGAAGCATGTACCTAATGCTATGTCCTTGTCAGCTGAAATGATAGTGTGGCCAGCAATCACTCTGATTTAGAGGGTAGAAAACACTCCCCTGCATTTCAATATGTTTTTCTATGCAGCTATGTAACAGAGAAAAAATTTATTTCTTACTGCTTTCAAAGCTAGTACTGAACAGCATTTAAATAGAAATCTGCTAAGAAAAACATGTGGGAATCAACTTTTCCATCTGGTTGGTCCATACCCTGTTATCGGTCACACTTGGGGTCTGTAGGAATTGTATGTCCTAAATAATAATTTTCAAAAAATGTTCATTTTTGAATATACTGTATTTCATTTGCTTGGTTTACCTTGGCGTGCTTTGGGTGTTACTGTTTTCCTTGTTGACTCTGTAGTCACATACTGTTTTATTAGTCTGTAGGAATTCTGCAGGGAAAGTAGCCAGTAAACCTTAAACAAAATCAGATGGATTTAGGAGATGAGAGGTATCCAAAACAACTTTTAATTCATTCTTGGAAATTATTATGATAATACCTTTTAAAGCCAACACAGCTCCAAGACACTTTAGAAACTCTTTGAACCTAGATGTAAACCTCACACAAGGGCACAGCTTCTGTAATGAGCGAAAGCCCTACATCAGACTGGTTGAGATACTGCAGATACAAATCTGATAATGCTGCCTTGGGCCTGTGTTGAGTGAAAGCTCTGTGTTCAAAAATAAGTAGCTTTTCACTGTAATTGAACAACTGTTGAATGATCTGTGTCATCCTAAGGCTTTGACTGCACTGCTTCTTTCTTTAATGATGATACCCCTTCAGGCAAAATTTGTGGTTTTCTTAGACAGGGGGTGGGGAGAAAGAAGTGCGAAACACTGGAAGACATTTGGGATAGAGGGAGAAAACTAGTTGCAGTTGGCATTTGCGTACTTTACTAGTAGCAACAGCGGCTTTATAAAATCTTCCTTTCCAGAACCTGTCCGTGAGTGTTGTTTGAATCACGCCTCACCTAAGGCTTCCAAGAGTTACTGCTGAAATTGCCAAAGCAAAGTGAGGTTGGGCCTGTGTCTTAATAACGTGATAAAAATGCAATCAACAGCTGCCATGTGGAGAATTTTTAGGCAAGTCATTTGTCTAAAACACATTTTAAAAGTTTCCTTGTTCAGCAGTCTAGTTCTTGGAAATTTGTGATGTACATACAAATTAGTATTGTGCCATTTAAAAAGAGGATAAATGTGATATTCATTTGATACATGTACATGTTAGATGTGTGTATATTAAGAGGCATAAAGTAGTTGGGTAAGGATGTGCTGTACCTTCATTAGAATGCAGAAGCAAAGGGAAACCAATTAAATTAAAAGGCAAGACAGTTCTACTGAAAAGGACATAGAAGGTCTAATTTCCCCTTGGAAAGTATTGCCCCAAGCTATTATCAAAAGGTATTGCCAGAAATAGCTATTTACATTAACAAGAATGCCATCATAGATATATTTTTCATATTTTACCTTTATAAAGAAGTTGCAGTGGTTACACAGCAGTGGCATAAGGCTGAACTCACTGATCCTCAGCCTGGGGTCTGGGTGAAGCTTCTTCTTCAGCTGCGCAGGTATCTCTTGTACCACTCCTCTGCAGTGTCTGGTATTGATGTTGAATGGAAACAGGACAGTGATCTAGCTAAATGATTAGTATAACCTGGGTCAGCTATTTCCATTTATCCCATGTCTTTCACTGCAAATTTCAAGGTTGTTTTTTTTTTTTTTTTTTTTTTGTCATTTGTATCTCCTCCTCTTGTTTTCTTAATCTCTTGTTTATTTCCTGCATATGATCCCTCAACTCATTCACCACAGAGGCCTCTTTTTCTTGAGATCTTCATTACTTGTGCTTGCTTTGTTGGAGTTTTATTAATGTATTGCTCGGGTTTCTAAAGTTTTCTGTTGGGGTCACTAAATACCTCTTGGGGTGTCCTCAGATCTTTGCCCTTGACACTCCCGTGGTGAAACAAGTATCTTGGTTTTACAGAGAGCAGAGAAAAACAAAAGTTGTGAAAACACATGTTCATGGCCACCACATGGGATGAGGAGGCTCTGACTCCTGGGGCTGGGCTGCTCTGCCCTGTCCCTGTGTTACAACCTCCTGGGCACACGGTCAGCGTGGGCTGGCTCCTGGGGGAGTTTGGTGGGGGGAGCACTGCTCCATTGTCTTGCTGCTTCTCAAGTGAAGAATTCACCACTGGCAAAACACAAATCTGTCAAAAAATATGGGAGGGAAAGGGAGAAGGGAGAGGAATAGTCTAGGGAGGACATTTTCTACTGTAGCTTGTAATCATGGCAACTCTACCTTTGCTCTCCATACCAGTGCTGCGCATGGACCTGCTGCGGCAGTGGATAAAAATGCAGCCATGCCTTAAAGCCGTGCTGCCACAAAGGCCAAACTCTCTGTGCCACCAGGCTTTGCTCAGGGCTCAGCTGCTCCACCAGAGGCTCCAATGGAGGGTTGCAATGAGAAAGTGGAGGGAGCTGGTGCACAAACCAAGATTCTGAAGGAGCACAGTTATCTTTGTGCATCTTATATGTAAATTAACATATAACAAAGAGTCAGGAAGGAAAGGGGATGTTACTGCCTGGAAATATGCCATGTGTGCATTTGATGCATATATTTGAATTATTGAAAAGATGGAAACAAAATAGTTTGGTAGCTAGAGAAAATCTGTAAGCTAGATGCTTGAAGGAAATATGGGAAGATAAAATGGGAAGGTGGGGGAAGTGAATTTCACAAAGCTGCCATGGAGGGGAAGTTGTATTTTATTAGAACAGAAATCCAAACAAGACTGTGATTTTGTAAAGACTGTGATTTTGTAAAGACTCTTGTGTCCAAATCATGAGTCTTATGTGCTAACTAATTACAAACACAATGAGCTGGTGCAAGGACTTGAGCACATTCTTGTAAGGAGTGACTGGGGGAGCTGGGGGTGTTTAGTCTGAAAAAAAAGGAGGCTCAGGGAAGACTTTATCACTCTCTACAACTGCCTGTAAGGAGGGTATAGTGAGGTGGGAGTTTGTCTCTTCTCCCGTATAACAAGCAGTGGGATGAGAGGAAACAGCCTCAAGTTGTACCAGGTGAGGTTTAGATTGGATATTAAGAAAAATTTCTTCACATAAAGGATTGGAACAGCACTGGAACAGGCTGTCCAGGGAGGTGGAGGAGTCACCCTTCCTGGAAGTGTCCAAAAAACATGGGCATGTGGCACTTAGGGACATAGTAGGAAACATGGCCATGCTGAGTTAACAGTTGGACTCAGGGTTGTCTTGGAGGCCTTTTCCAACTTCAACAATTCAATGATTTTATATGCATTTTTTAATTTTCATTTTTGAATGGTGGCTCAGAATGTCTGTTACCATCCCGCTCTGATTTCTTGTTGCCCACAGCGAGCCACAGAAGAAGGTATCATGAGAAAATCTAGAATGGCAGTGTGCTTACCTGAGTAAGAGCTGTGGCCAGAGGAACTGCAAGAGACTGAAATTCATATGTATGCAGGGAAAACAAACCAGCAACCAACCCAGACAGCAGATTGACCTTCTGCTGGACTTTATGTTTTGAGTTCTTTTCAAGGTATTTCTAGGAATGGTTGCAAGTACCTCCTCTGCTGGAGGAACAGTCTGGAAACATCCTTAAATACTTCCCTTTTGTTTAATGATAGCTACTTCCCAGAAGAATAGGAAACCAGTCGAGAGACTCCTTCAAACTAAGCAATGTTTTGATAGACTCAGGTTAGGAGTAAGGCTCTTTATTTGCCTCACTTTGGTGCCATCATCTTCTGCTTCAAAGTGGCACTTTGATGATAACCTTTGCTGATCTTAATTCCTGAGGCAAAATATAAAAAGAAGGGATATCTTTAATGTCCATGGTCAAGAACACCTTAGGGACACCAAAGATAATTTGGCTCTTTTGCCTTCAC